CTGCAAGGTAATTTTCTGCAGTGCTGTTGTACCTCACACACACACACACACACACCAAATTCCCCAATCACTCTCTGTGTGAACAATACAATCAAGCCAGGCGGCGAAGCGAACATAGTCAATACCCTGACACCAAATTAACCACACTCTTTTTTTTTTTTTCTTTACCCTCCTATCTCTCTTTATCGCCACCCGCGGCCTAAACTTTATCTCTTTTTCCGCTCGCATGTCACCGTTCCCGATCTTTCATATGCCTCCGTATGTAACATGTGGCTGTGCTGAGAGCATTCAGGCTCAAGACTATACATTAATAAAAATTCAGGAGGCGTCTGGTGTAGGCATGTCCTGGGAAAATCCTCTGTGCTTGTGATGCATTTTACATTTTCAGTTTGTTTCGAAAAAAAAAAAAAAAAGGGAGTAGAAAGTGGGTCGCTGGCTGGCACGAGCAGCTGCAGCCGCCGCGGATGCAGAGACAAAGACTTCAGCAACATTTTTGGGAGCACAAATTCATCAATATTTTAAAGACGGCACGGTACGAATGTGTGCCAAGTTAATGCAAGGAGTTAATGCAGGAAAATGATGCTTCTGCTCTCAACTAAAGAGGGAAAAAAATACTAAATTATTCACATTTTCCTTTTTTTTTCTGGTGGGGAAATGCTCAAATTTAAAGAAGTGGCTGTTTTATGTAAGCTACGGAGGAGTCAACCCAAATATGATATTGTTATGGGCATTTAAATAAATATCTCATCCGAACAAACCCTGACGCTCTGCGTATGTATACGAGTGTGTGCGTTAGTTTTGCAACTAAAGCGATTTTTGCGGAGGACAGATTTAAGGCCCAGATGGTTTGGCATGGAGTGTGTTTGCTATAGGCCAACTGCTCGCACACACACACACACACACACACATACACGTACACACACACACACACACAGATGGGAGGGGGTGGGGGAGCCAATCTGGTGAGAAAAAAAATGAGAGAGGAAACAAAACCTATGAGAGATTTTGATGGAGACGTGGTGGTTAGATGAAGGGAACCTATCCATCAACTGTCTCTCTGTATAGCACAAAAAAAAAAAAAAAAACAGGCTACAGAGAAAAAGAAACTGTCTGTATTTATCCATCTATGACCATTATAAATAAAAACAAAGCGTCTGGACCTAACAAGGTTACCTCCAGAATGGGACACACACATAACCGCTTTGCGAGACAAACTCCGCCGCCGTCTCTCGGCCTTAAGAGAAGGTATGCAAAGGTATTCAGGGCATCCTTTTTATTAGCAGGAATAAAAGCATTAAGATTCACTCAGAGAATAAAATGTTTGCTATTCAACAGTTATGCAAAAAGGTTACTTTACCAGCGGAAAATAGAAAAAAATGTCTGCAGGAAGAACTCTGGACACTGTCAACACACTTGCTCAACCCATGTCACCGCAGTCAGTCTGTTGCATCATGGCCCACTACATGTTGTGTGTAAGAGGAAATGTTGGCATTTTTGCACCACATTGCCTCACTTGAGTCAATATGGCTGTACATGGTAGCAATAAAGTAGCTAGATGAAGTAATTACGTGTCAGCTAAGCCTCTGAAGGGACGATTCCAGCAGCTGAATATGAAGATGGTCGAACCCTCTGTTATGTCACCCACAGGTTTCCTTCAGAGCAGTTTTTAGGCTCAGCGTGATGACATCTTAGCAGCACCTAACGCCTGGTTAATCCAAAAATCAGAGGTGGACGATGAGTGAAGTAGAGACGGAGCATGTACTTCTTCTTGCATAAAGTAGCCACACCCTTAATTATGCATAACTTTAAGCCTGAATGCAATTTAAAAAGGTGAGTTGCATAAAGATTCACCCTCGGTACAATTGTCACGAGCAGAGAAATTAGCTGTAGAGACCAAAACTGTTTTTTGTATTAAGCTGTAAACATGATTATTTCTAGTGTAAAGTCGTTTATTTTAATCACGGGGGTTTATGAGGATTGACTGAGTTTTTGAACCAGCCTCAAGTGGTCATTCGAGGAACTGCAGTTGTTTGGAGCTTCATCTTTCGCTGCATTTTCAGCCCCAAATATTGTCACTTGCAACGTAATTTTGAGCATTTCCATCAAAAATAAACGTGGCAAAAAAGTTGGCTCTTGTTGGCAAACAGAAAATACCAGAACCTTAAGTAACCCATGGCAGTCATCAATAGATGTCTCGTAGTTAAAAGGGACAAAACTACAAAATTAGGAAAGGTTTTTCGAGCATACTTGTTGTCGATGTCTGTGCATCATCCATAACTGGCTCATGGAGCAGCAAATATTTGTAATAAGATGTTAAAGGCCTTCCGGTAAACGATAGAAGGTTTGCCGTCTTGCTTGTTTCTTGACCTACATTCACTATAAAAAGACACAATGTTATGGTGACTCAGTGTTTCTGCAAATCATTTTATTACTTTTCCAAACTTTTCTTTTGGAAAACCAGTGAGTGAAACCCCAGGTGTTTCTCTTATGTCTCACCAGTCCCTCTCCTTTTTGTCTCTTGTCTCTGTATGTCTATGAAGTTCTGCATTTTTGCCAAAAGTTCAAACATCTTCAACTCGCACGTGTTCTTCTTGTCAAATCACATTTTTCTTTGACTTAAGATATGCTTTTCTTAACTCACAGTAAAAGTAACACTATAATGTCACAGCAGTTAATTCTCTGGAGACGACTTGAGGTGAATCTGATAGTTTTTGATATTTATTTTTGACATATGAAATTGTAGGCCCAGTGAAGGATCACCAAAAACAATCGCATCAAAAGTGTGTCTGTAATGTTAAACCTCACATGAGCAAGAATATATTTATTGTTTTTGTTGGCAATCTACTTTTAGAATATGGAGATTTCTTGAGTATGAAGTTTGTCGAGTTGTCGTTCTCATTTAGTTACTTTTCTACAGTATTTGCTGTATTGTTTTTATAGCCTCTAAAGACAGTGGATGCTCAATATGAGTTCAGTGGAGTTGAAGTTTACATCTGGGTTTGTCCATAAAATATAATAATGTAGTAAAAAAAAATTGAAGGAATTTGAAAGGTGGGCCTAAGATCTGACCAAATGTGAAATATGGTCACAATCTTCTCTTCTGTTCCTGAGTTGTTGTGTTAAATAAAGATGAGAAAAGTGTTTCTGTCAAACTTAATGAAGTCACCGTGAAGCTGATCTTGACCTAATGGATACAAAATGTCATCACTTCATAATTTTATCCTTTTGGAGATTTAAGTGAGACTTTGTCCTAATTAGTTTATGAATTTGTTATGGCTAAAAATGTGTGACTTCATGAGGGACCTTGGAGGAACTTTGACCTCCGAAATCTAATCAGTTCTTTATTGAGTCCAAGTCAACATTTGCGGCATTAATGTAGAAATTCCTTCCAGGCATTCCTGATACATTGCGTTCACAAGATTGGGATGGACACGAGGCCACAGTGACCTCTGACCACCAGAATCTAATCAGTGTTTTTGCTGAGGTCTACTGAGCATTTGTGCCAAATTTGAAGAAACGCCTTCATGAGATATTGAGCTCACAAGAATGATACGAGCGGACATCTCAAAAATACACTGCCCCGGGTCTGCAGAGGCATAAGAATCTGCTAATGCACAGTCTCCTAGTCTGGTTTCCAGCTAAACGCACTTACAAACTACATCTTCAGTTTATGCTCTGTGCCCTGAAACATTCATGAAATGAGATGTTTTTTTTCTACGATTATCTTAAACTTGAGATGGTTTTAGGAAACGAGCTGCCTGAGAAAATCAGCACAAGCATGTCCTCTGATAAGAGACTGACCTTCTCCCTTCTCTTCAAGAATTTAACTTCAGTACATTTTAGTGACACAACAAATCTTGACATGATCGTTACTTAACTTTTTCAATCCTCCACTGCCCTTATTCTCCACGCTCCCCTCCACTCGGCTCTCTCGCTGTCTTTACTGCTGCTAATTACTGCTGCCACATTATCACTGCTCTTTCCCGCTGGATGAGTTTGTTTGCTATTCATGCTATACATAAAAAGCCACAGCATTACAAAACCATTGTTACAACCCAATGACTCCAGTTCTTCAGAGAAAACAGCCACAATACAGTCGACTGAAAATCCACTTGATTTCGAGACAAAATCCTCTGAAAGAGAAAAGGTGTTAGAATGAAAAAGAAGGGCAAACGGGGTGAAGAACGGGAGAGAAAAGGGACTCTAATGAAGACCAGACTACACGAGAATAGAACAGAGTAGAATAGAGTAACCTCTTCCTCGTCAGTTTCCATGGCAACAAGCCCTTTGGTGGGATGGCGGTTGGAGAAGCCTCAGCAGGAGAGAGTTTGAGAAAGGCAGCGTGTGAACATCTTTTGTGTGTGTGTGCTGACTTTAAAAGCATATGGACATAGGTGGTGAATGCTGCGTGCACACACAGACAGATCCATTATGTTTTCAGTATTCATGGGCTGTAGTCAAAGGCGTCTGAGTGTTTCTGATACAGACCGTAAGAAAAAAAAAAAGATTGAGGAGCACAGGAGGATGCTGGGAAGTGGAGTCAGAGACGAAGGTGGAAAAGGACAGAAGAAGGAGGGGAATGAACAGAGAGTGTTTACATTGATGTGCCAATGAAGAGGTTCATTCTGCTAATGATCATATTTGTGATATAACGTTCACTATAACAGCTACCGCGTGCTATGTGTGCAGTTTGCAAACCGTCACTTTTAAAATGGCTAACTTGCCTTTCCTGTAACCATCTGACTGTGACTACCCGCATGATTTTTTTTTCTCTGCACATGTAGGGAAACAGACCTTCTGCAATCTGTCTGCTATAAATTTGAATGGATCAACATCTCCATGCAACTGTATCCCAGTTTTTCCAGTTAGCATATTTGGTTTTCTCAGAGCTAGGATAAGGGTTTAGCCCAGTTTCTGCAGTCACGCTATGATGTTTACATGCACAAACACAAAAACAAATAACCCCCTCATAGCGATGAGTGACTGATGGATTTGTGTACCTTCTGGTATTGATCTTTGGAGGCCAAAGCTTCCTCAAGCTGCTGCTGTGTGTAGGTGTAGATGGCAGAGCGGTACGTCGTCCCAACATCGTTCCCCTGACGCATCCCTGAACACACACACACACACACACACACACACACACACAAATTGCAAAAATCAAGATTTGAGGATTTCAGTGAAGCGCCTGCATCCTCAGTTCTTGGCAGAGGGAACATCACATCATTTGAAAACAACAGCTGACAGCATTTCCAAAAATATGACTCGTCTGTCTTGGCGGAACTGATTGCTGTTTTTGACTGATTTGATCATTTCATCGTGCATCCTTTCATCCTTTCACTGTCAGCTTGTCAGCCTGTCAACAGCCATGTTTGATGAGCGCAAAGGTTTCTGCGGACGACAACGTGTGTCGGTCAGCCCGTCAATCCAGCGCAGGTGCAGTCACTTATGGTCCCTCGTGACTTTGAAGACATTTAAACTTGTGCCACCCAAAACAAAACAGCATCCTCATCAGCCGTACTTCTACCCGTCAGACAATTTTTATAGGATTAGCCACACTGGAACAATTGTGGGGTGGCACAATGTCTTGTTAATTTTCTTTTTTAGCAAATCACTACCAACCAAACGTCTTTCGCACATTTACTCTCATTATTTACTTATGCAGGCAAGACTGCCCTGTCGAAATACTTGTATAATCATACAGTATAATAAGCTTTATACCCTCAGTTGATTAAAATCTGGAACAATTGATAGAGTTTTTAAAGTGCTGATAAAGCTAATAAGGCAATTACAATGTAAATGACATAATATAATTACATGTAAGACTCTTATGTTAAAAGTCTTCTTGTTCTGCTGAGGACACACACCTACTTAAGACGTCACACTGTGTCTTTTTCTTTTTTTTTTTTTTGGTTCTGGGTCAGTCTGTTTCTTCAAAGTAGGTTTCATCCCTGCAGTTTTTAGGAGTCTACACAAGACCTTCTAATAAACCTGAATGGGACACACTTTTACCACTAAAAACACACATTCTTTATTTACACATCAAAACAGATGTGTTTACGGTTGTATGAGGGACGGTTGTATTGTTAAAATGCATTTAGATGGAGAAAATTAGCCTTTAAAAAAAGATCACAAGTTTTGCCAGAAAAACTTGTAATCAAACAGTAGTGGTAAAGTGAGAAAACGTACATTTTAAAAACCTCTAAGAAAAATAAATATTATAGCTGAAGGAGGAAAAAGAATGAAATGTTTGGCACTTAGGCTGTTACTTCATCGAGGCTTCTTCTGCTATGCCCAAGGATCAGCAAGGATAGAATTACAACTTTAAAAAAAAAAAAAAAAACAACAACAACATTTTTTAAAAACACATTTTTATTTTCTTTATCAATAAAATGTTCTCCTTCGTGGGTGTGTATGTGGGTGATGTTGTACCTTGGGTCGGGTCATGGCTTTCCCAGAAGACCTTGAGGAGATCCGCCAAGCTGATCTTTTCTGGATGGAAAACAACTCGCACCACCTCAGTGTGTCCTGTCATGCCTGCAAAACAACATCCATGAGTCACAGAGGCAACCGAGAGGTCCAGTGATAAGTCCTTCTGGTCAAATAAATTCTTGGTCAAGAAACTTTTTTCTATTATTAAAAAAAAAAAAAATAATTTTTTTTAAAAATCAGTTTTGGCATGTTTTCATGAAGAAATTCTTATTAAAGTAGTAGTTGTTGTTGTAATCTTTATTTCGAACATAAAACAGTGAAATCAACAAAACAAAAGATAATAGTAATTAATAATGAATAAAGGTAAATAAGAAAAAGAAAATGAAATTAAATCAACCAAGAGAAAAAAGAAAAGAAAATGTATTCATCATCACTGACATGCTCGAAAAGGAGTAGGAAGAAGTAAAAACGTATTTAATCCTACCCCCTAATCTCAAGTATAATATGTATGTAACACCGCATGAAAATGATTATAAAGTCATCCCATTGACAACCTGAGAGCCTTGCAGACCTTCAATTCATCATGTGGTCTTCATCATCTCAGCGTTTGTTACGCTCCAAATAATCAGTGGACCTTAAGTCAGTTCTATCAATGGCTGTTTCCAAAGTAAAGAATAAACTGTCCACTTTGAAGCCAGTACGGATGAGTAGTCTTATGAAACTGTTACTGAATGACAACTGGGCAACTGCGCCTGCTCATGAAGACCATGCAGTACAGTTAAAAGCTCAAAACAAGTGAGTAAGTGGACTTTGACATTAAATTTTTTTTGGTTAACTGTTTAATCAGTACCTTCCATAAGAATCCATCCACCTGATAAAAAAAGAAAGTATCCCTTAAATAAGTTCTGATGTACTAATGAAGACTATGTATTGACCTAAGACTGCTTTGTAATTGCTGTTCGCCAATATCTGTCCAGGAATCCATAACTCCTAATATTGAAAGTGAAATTAGTTCTTCTGAAATTCCCAATGATGACCTCCTGAAAATATGATTTAATGACAACTGAGCAACTCCAGTTGTTGATGAAGACCATCCAATAGAGTCAAAAGCTCCAGAGCAAGCAAGTAAAAGGACCATGACTTATCTGTTTTTTTAGTTCATACTTTGTCCTGGAAACAGCTGTTAACATAACAATCTTAAGTAAAGCTCCACTTAGCGGGCCTTTTAACCGAATCACATGGTCTTCAGCATCAGTTGAAGTTGCTCAGTTGTCTTCCAGTATTATTTTCACAAGAAGCCTTAATCATACCGGCTTCAATATTGAGCTGAATGGTTTATTCTTGACTTTGGAACCAACCACTGACAGAACACTCTTGACTCCACTTGCTCCAGAACTCTTGAGTGTACCACAGGGTCTTCTTCATTAACACTTTTTGATGTACTTAACACTTTTTTATTATTATTATTATGAGTTTGGATTCTTGCAGCAGACATTGACGAAACACCAGTTTAAAAAAATGATGGTCCACTTGCTCACTAATGACTGACGGATCTGCCGAATATTTATTTTTTTTCATACCAGGATTGAATTTACACCTGAAAAGCACCAAATGCAGCTGCTGTCCTTGAAAGGCCCATATAGGTCCGAAGCAGATTTTAGCATTCAACCAGCACAAACGATCCCTCCTGCAGACAGTCAAACAGCAGCTGGTGCTGGTAATGACTGTGACCTATTACGTGACACCTCATCTTCCTCCCGTCTCTTATTCTACCTCCACTCCTATGTCTCTCTCTGTCTTATTACTTTTTTAATATCAGGAGTTATGGAATCCTACGGCCGATATTGCCGAACAGAGACAAAGCAGCGGTTGATATTAAATTAATGTCTCACCAGGCCAATCTCGCAGGAATAAATTCATCTTGGACAGGAGGAGAAAATACAGTAGTGGTTGGAACCAGAACTAAAAAAAAAAAAAAAAAAAATCAAGCTTCAGCTGTTCACGTAATGTACATTTAGCAGCAAAATGATCTTATAATCTGCCGCTATTGCAGAGTAAACAATCAAGTGTGTGTGTTTGATAGTTCACCGTGCAAATGTCAGGATCTTGAGAAGCACTGAAATTTGTTTCTTGATAAATTTATACTGGAACTTGAACCTAAAATAGCCTCTTTTTTGCCATGTTTTCTACAAAACTCACTTATTTCATTAGCAGAATAAAGTGCCTTTACTGGGCATCAGATGGCAGTGAAACCAGTTGTGAATATGTGTTCACAAGCAGTTGCATATGCACTAAGCAACATTTGCATTGTTGTGTTTTTGGCCACCTGATGTTTGTGAGTCCAGTGGCTGCATGTGTAATTCTCTTTCAAGCTCTGTTTTGGTGTCTACCATCTACAGAACAAAGTACAGTATCAGAGTCTCTCTGCTGGCTAAATGTTCACAAGCTAGTTCCTACTGTAGATGCTGCAAAATACATACAATCCCAACCCTTTCAATCCCCTTACTCAATCTCGATGTGTAGTTTGTTTGGTAGAGACTTTTCATTTCATTCAGCACAATGTCGAAACACATAGGTCACAGAGGACAGTGTAATAGCAGTGGCAGGCTAAGGCCCAAAGTTCATAAAAAAAACGTTTAATTTAACGTGTTAAAGAGACACATTCAACAAAAGGACTTGTTCCTTCTGCAAATATTGCTTTTTGCAGCTGTGTTTGGACTTTTTTTTTTTTAACAGCGTTGCCGATTTATCACACATTTATGCAACACGTCGGCTTCTTTATTTGTTTGCCGATGCCCAAACACCAGAAACTAAAGGGGACAAAAGACTAACTAAACAGACAATGAAAGATTGTTGGTCACACAGCTAAATAGGTCCAGGTAGTTTAACAACTTGGAAGCAGATCTGGTTCAATAAGAGTCCAGTGAACATTATGCCACTTTTTACATGACACAGACTCATTTTATTCAAAGGTATTTATGATGGCAGCCGTACACAACATACCCATTGGACTGACTTTTATAACATCAATGTACTTGAAGTCTATATTTTCAAGAAAAAATGCTTTTGGCTTATGTACTAAATTTACAAGCAAACTGAAATAACTTCTCACCCTAACAATTTGAATGATGTTAATTATATTTCCTGAACTAGGGCTGCAAGGTGGTTCAGTGGTTAGCACCGTTGCCTCGCAGCAAGAAGGTCGCCGGTTCGTGTCCCGGTTCAGACACCCAGGATCTTTCTGCATGGAGTTTGCATGTTCTCCCCGTGCAGTGTGGGTTCTCTCCGGGTTCTCCAGCTTTCTCCCACACAGTCCAAACACATCCATCCATCCATTTTCTATACTCCGCTTAATCCTCATTAGGGTCGCGGGGGGCTGGAGCCTATCCCAGCCGACTTAGGGTGAAGGCAGGGGACACCCTGGACAGGTCACCAGTCTATCACAGGGCCACACTTAGAGACAGACAACCAGCACACTCACATTCACACCTACGGACAATTTAGAATCACCAATTAACCTCAACATGTTTTTGGACTGTGTGGGAGGAAGCCGGAGAACCCGGAGAGAACCCACGCTGCACGGGGAGAACATGCAAACTCCACGCAGAAAGATTCCGGTGCCCCCACCGGCACGCGAACCGGCAACCTTCTTGCTGCGAGGCAACAGTGCTACCAACTGCACCACCTTGCAGCCCAGTACAAACACATGCTGAGGTTAATTGGTGATTCTAATTTGTCCGTAGGTGTGAATGTGAGCGTGCTTGGTTGTCTGTCTCTAAGTGTAGCCCTGTGATAGACTGGTGACCTGTCCAAGGTGTCCCCTGCCTTCACCCTAAGTCAGCTGGGATAGACTCCAGCCCCCCATGACCCTAGTGAGGATTAAGCGGTGTATAGATAATGGATGGATGGATATTTCCTGAAGTAGTCAAATGATTATTTGTTAAGTCTGAAGGTGGACCTAAAAGTCAGTAATAGTTTATAATAATCTACTGTATTAATTCAATCCTCTTCGTTAAACGCTAGAAACAAATCATGCATGCCTGATTGACGGCCACTAATAAACTATTGGAGCAGCTTCGTTTATCTTTCTGTTTGAACGTGCGAGCGCTACCAGATGTTTCGTGAGCCAACGCCCTCACCTTCATCGCAGCTCGTACAGCTTTAAACAGTAAGAATTACCATACATTCCTCTGACTGTAGAGGAAGACGGCTTTGAAAACAAATAATGATGAACACTGCGAGCGTGAGACACAGAAACAAGGACTGCAAATGAGAAAAATAATGAACAGTGTGGGAGTGTTTTTAAATCCAGTAACACAGGTGCTCTATCTCAAAAAGAGAAAAATATGCTAATATAATCATCACATTTTGAACCTACGCTGATCTGACTGTAAATATTTAACCAACAATGAATATTCAGATCAATCTTTTCTCTTTTTTTTTCCTCCATGTGTCTCTCCTGAAGATGTGAAGGTGTGAGGAGCACTTCATTTAGCCAAGTGCCCTCGTTCAATAGTCTGCCAAGATACAGTGCTAATTAAAAAACACATCCAGCAGTTCAAACCTGGTTCACATCAGTTGTTTTTGTTTTAGAAACAGTGAGAGCATAGTTAGTGTTTAAACAGGATCTCTTCCTCAGCGGGCCTGTTCAGGATCACCACCATACTACATCTACATTAAATAAAGTGATGCAGGAGTGCACGAATATGATGCACAACAAATTAGCAATTCATATGTAAATTCCCAGGATCTGTCTGTGTCAGATTTCACATGATCAAATCGTGACTTCTTATTTGAAGAATAGCGTCAACAACTGTTGTTCTGACTACAAGTGGAAAGAAGCAAAACAACAGCACGGAACATCAAAAATGTCCAAGATTTGTTTGAGTGTAGAATACAAACGCAGTCCATGAGTATTTGTTTAGCATAAGGCAACTTTTCTCTGCGGAACACTGATGTGCCAAGAATGTTTACACCGATCTGTTATCGGCCCTTTTAGTCTTTCTGTTTCTATTGCAGTGTACGATAGGACTGCTTCAACCGCGACATTAACTCAGAATGCAGCAAAGCAACGATGAATAGTAGTTAATATGGAAATTTTACGTTGTTGGGTGAGCTGAATAAATCAGTATCATTTTAGCACTGCTCAGAGATATCTGCCCTGCACCCAGAAAACAGTGCAGAAGCAGGTTGTACAGGTGCGGTTCTTGCAGTTGGAACCATAAACTATATATAAAAGATGGATGTAGCCTCTGGGTGTGGAAAGCAAAGCCAATGTAGAAGTGTCTTGAGCCTGCATTCTTTCTCACAGCCAGCAGGGGGAGACTCATCCAGTTGAAAAAAAATCCAATTATATAGACATCTATGAGAAAATGTTTCTATTTCTTACCTGATTTATCACCTAGGTAAACGTTAACCTATTAAGTTTATGGTCTCAGCTGCTAGTTTTAAGACTTTTTGAATACAAAAAGATATTCACTTCGTAAATTATGGTCCCATTTAGAGTAAAAACGACAATAAAGCAGGGTGTGTTTAAGAGCGAGGCTACATTGTGTTTGATATATACTCAACCATAACGCCAAAACCAAACATGAGTTTACCCTCTGTTGACAATACTCCATCACCAGGATATCGTGTTTTACCCTCTTCAAGCATTTCAAATGTATTCATGCAGTGTTTTAACCAGTTTTACTGAAACGTCACTCAACAGAAGTGAAAGAAAACTGACTACAGCATGTTCACTGGATGTAGCATTTATACACAATAGTACAACTAACATACATCTTTATTATCAATATCTCAGTTCGCCTTTTAGCCTATAAAACAGTTTCTAAATACCAGTTTGAAGAGTTGTAGGGTACTTAAAGTTATTCATGTTTCTGCTACATTAAATCATATTAAAATAATAATGACTTCATAATAATAGACCAAGATTTCGATGCTCTTATTACCTATTTTGTTTACCAAATGACTTTGGGCACAACCCTAGTCTATTGTTTTTGAGTTTCATTTATATTTCTGTGTTATGCTAAAAATGTGGCCCATCCCCCATGAGATTAGCATGCAGCTTTGGTTTAGTCCACATATTATCAGCCTTTGACTCAGAGCAAACACTGATTCTCTGAACAAACAAATGTTGAGCTTTTCGTTATTAAAAAAAAAAAAAAAAAGAAAGAAAGAAAAGGCCTAATTTCCCTACATTTAATCTAACTCTTGTTTGTGGCATTTATTCCTTTCCTGATATGTAATTCTTCAAATTTGTTGTATTTTTCTCAGTATTGCTTTCGGCTTTTCTCATCGTCTAAACTTTTCTGCACCACATCAATGTGACCGTTTGAGAGGATGAAGCCAAGCTAGAAAGTGAAAGAGACAGGTGGGGATGCAGGTCTAATGATGGATTCACTCTGTACTGGCAAACTGGAGGAATCACTGGGAGGTCTGGACACACATCACACACAGATACACACACAAACACAAAAATAGTCCCTGCTCAGAGTGGTCAGGCATCAATAGCAGCCTTATCCATGCCCCAGTATAATAGGGCCTGGGGGAAATGATTCACTCTTCTGTTTATGTGTGTCTTGTTTTCCACAATTTATTGACTCTCAGTAGACAACACACTGCCCCGTACACTATGTGTGTGTACGTGTTGATAGACTTAGCTTACCTGTGCAAACTTCCCTGTAGGTGGGGTTAGGAGTGTACCCTCCAGCGTAGCCCACTTGGGTGGAATAAACTCCTTTTTGTCTCCAAAACTTCCTCTCTGCTCCCCAGAAACAGCCCATACCTGCGAGAGAGGGAACCAGATCTATGATAATCAAACATATCCTTACATGTGGGGGTATTTATTCAGCTTACTTCCTCTTTACTTTGTGCTGAAAGAGAAAAACACAGAAAAGTTTATAGCTTTTCATATGCTTAACCTTAATGTGAGCATTTGCGAATAAAACCTGAAAAAAATTAGATGCAGTATGGCAGCATGGTTTATATGCACAAGAAAAAAGTCTGAAGTATTACTGACTAAATAATACATTTTCTATTTTTACATGTATTTATTTTTCTATGGATGTCTACATTTATTCATTTATTTAGTCATGTATTTCTATGCCTGTTACGCCAATAAGTTAGAAGGTCCTAATTTCACTCAAAGCTATTGTGTGTAGTTAAAAAAGGCTCACATTATTATGTGATGTAGCTTTGATAAGACTTGTTTGGTTGGTTGGCACAGCTGACCAGTCTGGCTTTACACTGAGGTTATCACCACGCATACAATTAACACACACATCTAGAAATACAGAAATAATTAAATGAAGAAATATAAAGGAAAGAAAAAGATAAACAAATAAATACACATCGAAATGTGATTTTTTTAAAAAGTGATATTTCTTTGTAAAATGATCACACACAGAGAGGAAGTTAGAAGTGATAGAAAGTTCTTGGTTGTGTCCGAAATCATTCACTCGCTACTCACTGTATAGTGAACTATGTAGGGAGCATCTCGGCAAACTAACATTGCAGACAGTACTCAGTCTATTAATTACGTCGTGATTTGTGCCATAGCAGCGTGGTGCAAACATGTCAAATTCAGTTTATTGCACATCTAAGAAATGGGTAAAATAAAATTTAACAAAACATAAACGGGAAATGACTTACATTTAATGACAAGTTTTCGTGCTGTCATTCATCTTGTTCGTGTCTTGCATGATGGTCCATATTGCTCGGTTAGTGACCATCAGCTGTACTATACTTTCATGGTGCATTGTGGGATATTTTCAATGCACTATATAAGGTGTAACATTTCTAACTTAACATTCAGACAACACTACAAAATGATGAACACCCTATGTAGTGCACTGTAGAGGGTATGGGGATGATTTCAGACACAGCCGTTGTCTCACACTCTCATCTGTTTCAGCTGTGGTTTAGCTCTGCACTCTCAATCACAGAACAAAGAGAGAGTCTTCTTCCTGAAGTGGGCTGGACCAGCAACTCTGCTGCTTTTAAAGCAACACTGAAACGGTGTGTAAAGAGCAAGGTTCAGAGCAGGGGCTCTACATTCATGGTGAAATGGACCACTGTTGCAGTGCTTTGAGTTGAAAACTGAGGACATGTAGGACTTACATCAATTTGTGGAAATGGGACAAAATATGTGAGCTAATCTTTGTGTAAAATGAGTGGCATGAATGTCAAAGTTGTTATGATGTACAATATACTACAGAGTAGAAAATCGGCACACATTTAAATCATGTTTTATCATATGGTGTGGTGTGATTTTAGTTTAAGGTCGTACCTGCAGTGATTAAGCAGCCTTCATTTCCTGATATGTATTTTGAGCACTAGACACTCACCAAACATGACCATCTCTGTGTCCTCTGGAAAAGGTGGAACAGTCCTGTTTCCATTCACGTCATGCTTGGCTGCACAGGAAAGAGAAAACACAGTTAAGATCGAGGCTGCAGACTGGCTCTCTCTTTTCTGCTTCAGTTATTTTGTTACCAGCAGACTATGAGGGTTCATTCATTAGATTTGTACCACTGGAATTTATTTCCCAACATGTTAATGTATCATTGAATGCTGTTTCTGAGCTGACCCAGTAAAGGAAGCAGCTCAGCAGCAAGACCGCTGTGTAACTCTGTGTTCATTCTGACTTCATCTGAAAATAGCAGCCAATACTGAACCGTTGTTTTAATTGTATAAGAGTTCGGTGAAACTCAACAACTCACTTTTACCAAGACTGCACCAAAATACAGCAGCGAATTCACCTAAGAAGCACACACACACACTCACACACACACAGTGACCCACTTAAACAGTGGTGAGCAGCTCTGCATAATTTCATAGCAGCTGCATTCACTCCAATCAACACAGAGCCAGAGGTGCACGAGGACCCATTCGAGGCCATCCAGCCACCTGGTTGAGCTAACACGCATTAGCGTTAGCATGCCCCAGGCTGCGTGTGTGTGTGTGTGTGCAGATGGCTCGCTGTACAATGCTGTGGGGGAGGGAGACGGATTAAAATAAATGTGATGATGGAGGAGAATGAGAATGAACTAAACATCTGGATCCCCTCCTCCCCCTTCTTACACACACACACACACACACACACACTCTGTCTTCATGCGTGGTCACATAATTGTTATGAGGGGCAGCATGCCTATAGACAAAAGCAGCCAGATGGATACTGCCAACCAATCAGCAACACCACACACACACACACACACACACACACACACACACACACACACACGCACGCACACACAAAATCATCTATGATTATCACTTTGAGTTTTACATTCTGCAATAAGCTGATTGTTTCAACTTGCACAACCACACATAAAACACACGCACACATCATCTGAAAGTGAGTCTGTGCATCGCCCTTATTTGCCTGATTACACGAGCAGCCTTTCATCCCGACAGAAATCTTTCTCATCTTCCTCCGTGTTGTGAGGGAAGAAGGTTTGGAGCCGCAGTCATCTCCTGTGTTGATTGGGTCTTGTGGAGGAAATGACTGCACCTCTTCACCTTCAGTCCCATTACAGTCCTTCTAACTTAAGCTTCCC